CCTCCGCTAATTCTGGCTTTGCCACCCTCTCTTTCCAGGCCTCAACTCAAATGTCCTTCCCCAGAGAATTCTCCTGGACCTCTTCATTCAAGCTGTGCCTGGGGGTTCAGCCTTCTGCTTTATGCCTTTCTGGAGCAGTTAGCAGTCGCCTGTGTGTTTTCTGGAGCAGTTAGCGGTCACCTGTGTGTTTACCCATTGCTTAGTACTCGCGCCCCCATCCCAGATTGTTATCTCGAGGGCAGTTTCTTGCCCTCCTCTTCCCTCTCCTCCCAGCCCGCTATCCCCCCCCCTTCTCAGGAGGGTCCTCAGCTTGCACCTCTATCCTGCCCCAGGGCCTTTGCACAGATGATCTCTTCAGCAGCAAGCACCTTTTAGCCGCTCTCCCCTCAGTTAATTCAGTCTGCCATTTAGTACTCTGGGGTCCCTTGCTTCTTACTATGAGTCCTTTGGTTTCTTGGTGGCATTTGTCTCTCGGACTCAGCAAGTCATTAACAAGGCTGTCACCCATCTCTCTTCCGGGCCCTCGTGGACTGGATTGGTTAAGCCTAAACCAGCTGCTGGTACACAGGAGGTGTTCAGTGAGCAAGCATGGATTGAGCATCAACTGTATACCGACCAACCCTTCTCTGGACACCAGCAGCTAGCAATGACCTATAGAGTTTATCCTGGCCACCAACGGCTCCTGCTGTGGCGAGAGCCGGGGCAGGGTGGGGTGGGGGCTGCAGCTCAAGGGAGACAGAAAACGGAAGGGAAGCAGGAAGCAGATGGAGGTCGCATACAGGACTTCCTTTGAAGGCTGTGAAGGCGTTGGTGGAGTTTGCCAGTCCTACAGAAGCCAGGTGTGGCGACCCACACACGTGTCAGCCCAAGAGGATCAGGAGTTCAAGGTCATCCTTAGCTGCAGAATGACTGGGAGCTCCTGTTGGTCAAGGAAGGAACGTGACAGAGTTGCTCACGCGACAGGGCAGGCGGCCCGTAGGAGCAAAGGCCCTGCCGCCCGGAAAGTGCAGTCTGTATAAATGTTTGTTGGCTAAATACATGCAGGCCAGGTGATTTCCACAGGAACTGATTACCCACGTGGAGGACGCGCAGCAGGTGAGGGGTTGTAACCATTCTTGAGGGGACAGAATCCCAGCCCAAGTGGCGGCTGTAATGTTGTCTTCTGTCGCAGGGGCAGGCACGACCCACCGAGAACCCTGGGTTTTGCTGCGGACCCAGCACCGGGTGAGGCCAGACAGACGCAGTGGCTGTAAATAGGGGAGAGGTCACGCAGACCCGCCGTCCCAGACTTTGTTCTTTGCTCCCTGAAAAAGCACAAAACAGAATGATAACGGCCGTCCCGCCCTCTCCCGCCGCCGCTCGCCACTGGCCCGAGGTCCTGTCTGTCACCCCCGGCGTCCAGTCGCAGCGAGGGTTGGGCCGGGAGCGGTGGGCCCGGTATTTCAGCATCCTTTGGGGGTGGAGACGTGGCAAAAGGAGCAGGAGGCGGCGACAGGGACCCGGGAAGGGGCTGCCACCGGTCGGGACGTGGATGGAGACATAGCGACGGGAAAGGTGAGGGGCCATGAGGGGGGTGAGCTGAGGAGGGTCCCAGGCTGACAGGGTCCCCTCACACCGGCCGGAGGACGGCTGGAGAGGGGTGCAGTGGGACCCCTCAGTCTCCCAGGGAATTCAGGACAGGTTTGATCCAGGCTCCAACCTCCAGAAGTTTTTACAACATCTATATTAACAATTTTAAATTATAGTAGAATGCGGGCCGCTTCACACTAGCCATACGAGTCCCAAGATTTCATATGTTTGCTTGGTTTTTGTTTTGAGTCTTGCTAGTGGTAGCCCAGGCTGGCCTGGATCCTCCTGCCATTCTCCTGCCTCAGCTTCCTGAGAACTCAGATCATAGCCTCCCGCTACTGTGGCTGTTTAAAGGCTCCAGGTTATCCCGATACAACTCTGTCAGCCCTTGGGGCAGATTTGCAGATGAAGACCGCTCAGGGGCCGGGAGCCCAGAAGGAGGTGGGATGCTGTGTGTGAAGGATGCCGTGTGACCTGCCCCCTCTCTCTCCTCATTCAGATGGCGTCCCCTGCCTGTGGCGTGGGTCCTCTGGACAGCCTGGAACTCCTAGACCTCTTGTTTGACCAGCAGGATGGTATTCTAAGAAACGTAGAGCTGGCTGAGGCCTGGAACCACACCGGGGAGGAGCAAGTGAGGGTCCCCTTGGTAACGCTTCCAGCTACAGTGCGAGGCTGGGGGGGGGGGGCGGCAACGCCTGTGGCCCTGCTGGCCTGCACTGGGCAGCCCATAGCTTCTTATTCAACCTTTTAATGTGTGGTTAGAAGTTCCTTCTAATGGGGGTCAGGGTGGAGGCTCAGAGAGGGCATGGCGTGCACCCTGAGTCACACAGCCAACTTTGAACTGAGTTCAGATTCAAACCCAGAACTCAGAGGCGTCTTTCCCTGTTTGTCACCTCTCTGCTGTTGCATCTCGAACGCTCAGAGAGAAAGGATGGCAGTGTCCCTAAGGCACAGGGAGAGTCAGGGCTTTGTCCAGACTCACACAGCGCTCTGAATAAGCATGTGTCTGTGTCTCTCAATCCACTTCCCTTCTATAAGGTTCTACCACATTCTGACTCGGATGACTTCCTAAATTCCATCCTGGGACCTGGAGACTCTGACCCCAGCTCCCCCCTATGGTCCCCTGCTGAGAGTGACAGCGGACTGTCTGAGGATCTACCCTCGGATCCCCAGGACACCCCTCCTCATAGCAGCCCCGGAGCGGCTAACACTGCGGCCAAGTGTCATCAGAGCGGGCACAGCAAGGGACCCTGCTCCTCCTACCTGCCCGGCGCCCTGTGTCCTGCACCTGCAAGGACTCAGGCCCTGGAGTCCTCGGTGGCTATTGACCTGGGTGAGTACGGGACAGAGAAACACCTCTGGAGTGGGGGACACCGCGGGACCATTTCACAGATGAGGGTGTCACCAGCCTCAGTCTGGTGTCACGAGCTCCCACTGGTGACTCAGACACCAGGCAGCCAGGGTGGAGGCCAGAGAGTGGCCTGGATCTTGGTTTGTCCAAGTGTGGCTAACACAGCAGGGTGCTCAGTGAAAGCACAGGAGAGTCCAGAGCCCCTGGCACAGGCGCGGGTTCTGCCCTGAAGGACAGCTTATCAGAGGCCACCCCTACAGATCAATGATTGACTTCCAGACATCGATCAGCACCCCTAGCCAGCAAGAGGACGCAGGGCTGCGACTGGCTAGGCTCTACCCTCTGACCACGGCCCAGCTCTTCACTGGGAGATACTAGGCAGGGTTCTACTCCCCACCCCACCCCCGCCCCGAGACAGGGTTTCTCTGTAGCTTTGGAGCCTGTCCTAGAACTCGCTCTGTAGACCAGGCTGGCCTCAAACTCCCAGAGATCCGCCTGCCTCTGCCTCCCAAGTGCTGGGATGAAAGGCGTGCGCCACCACCGCCCGGCTCGGGATTCTACCTTGATCACATCTCCAAGCTCTGTATCTGAAGATTTGCAAGGTGCTCATTTCTCCCATTAAGTCTTTGTTCCTGATAAAGTCTAGATTCAGAGAGGTGAAGCTCCTTTCCTAGGGTCACACAGCTCTGCTCTGTCTGATCAGAAGCCAGAGTTTACTGCCACAATATTTGTGGTGTTCAATAGCATGCCTATGGCGTGTAGGCCATCAAGAGGGACAGGCCAGATATGACATGAACCTTGTCCCAGTCCTGTGCCCCTGAGTGGCAGCCACTCCTTGTTGTACTGGCTGTAAGTCCCCTACAATACCCTGTGTCTCTGTGACCCTATGACCCAGATCCATACACTGAGTTTGTGTTGCGTCTTATACCAGAGGGAAACTGAGACATGGGATCATGTACCCTCCCCTTCAGGCTCTGGGCATGGTGGCGCACACCTCTAATCCCAGCACTTGGGAGTAAGACAGAGGCAGGTAGATCTCTGTGAGTTTGAGGTTAGCCTGGTCCACAAGAGCTAGTTCCTGGACAGCCAGGGCTACACAGAGAGACCCTGCTTTAATACGGAAACAGGACTTGCTGGGGGCTGGGCACCGAGACTGAGGGCCTGATGTCCTCTCTGTCCCTCCCCTTCTGGTAGACATGTGGAGCACAGACGCACTGTACCCGGAGGAGCAGTCCAGTTCGCCTTCCAGATTCAACCTCACAGTGAAGGAACTGCTGCTCTCCGGCGGCGGGGACTTGGTAGGCGCCCTCACCCCCGCCCCCCCCTCCCCCCGTTGCCTCAGGTCACCCTCCTGTCTGCCTTGTACAGCAGCCTGGGACCTGGCAGAGAGGACCTGGGCGTACCTTGCTCCCAGACAGTCCTGCAATGTCCTGTCTGCTTTCCCGGACTGGTATACTCTCCAGTAAAGGGAGAGGGGGTGGGGAAGCCACGGTGAGTTCAGGAGCCTGGAAACAGGGTTAGGAGAGAAACTATTGGAAGCCAAGACAACATTCATTTACTGGTGATGAAGCAGGATCGCTGCACCTGCCAATCAATTGATCCTTCCCAGCTCTGGGCTCCACCCCCAACCCTGGGCCTCCCTCAACCCTGGGCTCTACCTCCAGCCCTGAGCCCCACCCCCATCCCTGAGCCCCACTCCCAGCCCTGAGCCCCACCCCCAGCCCTGAGCCCCACCCCCAGCCCTGAGCCCCACCCCCAGCCCTGAGCCCCACCCCCAGCCCTGAGCCCCACCTCCAGTCCTGAGCCCCACCTCCAGCCCTGAGCCACACCCCCAGCCCTCTTTTTATTTTGGGGGGACAGGGTCTTGCTCACTTTCCCTGGCAGGTGACAGTTCAGGGTCTGTGCATCTCTTATGGACATCCCCTCGTTTCCACAGCAACAGCATTCCTTGGCTTCCTCCCAGCTGCTGGGATCTGGGAGTGGGCACTGCCAGGAGCTGGTACTGACAGAGGACGAGAAGAAGCTGCTGGCTAAAGAGGGGGTGACCCTCCCCACCCAGCTGCCTCTCACCAAGGTTTGTGGGCTGTGTCTACGCCTCACCCTATAGTTGGGGCTGTTCTCAAACTCTTTTTTTTTTTTTAACAGTTTAAAAGAGCATTTGAAAATGGCTCATTTATTATTAGCAAGCAATGGGAAAAAAGGGAAAAACAAGTTTTCACAAAGCAGCCTACTAATTATATTAGTTAGGTTTCGTGAAATACTGGACATCATAGACACACAACAAAAATATGCTATCATATGTAACAGGCATTTCCAAAACAGAGATTACAGGGTTGAGGATGTAGCTTGGCTGGTACAGTGCTAGCCTGGCATGCACAAGGCTCTAGGTAGATCCCTAGTATGACATAAACCAGATGTGGTGACTCACTAGGAATCCCAGCACTCGGGTGTAGGGGCCAGATTATACAGGCCGGGAGGTAGCAAAGTAAAAGAGTATCCTTGGCAACACCAATTCTGAGGCCAGTCTGGGATACATAAGACCTTGTCTCAGAGAGAGAGAAACAATGCCCAGTGTGGTAGTGTATGCCTTTAACCCCAGTACTCAGAAGCAGGCATCTCTAGGATTCATGCCAGTCTGGACTCCTTAGTGAGCTCCAGGGCTAGCCAGAACTACATGGTGAGAGCCTGTCTCAAAAAACAAACAACACCTGAGTAATTATAATATACAGTATTTTTCCCATTCAATTACTGATTGAAAATGTACTTGAATATTCTTTTACAAAATCCCCAAACATCTCAAATTATTCCAACCATACAAAAAGAAAACAGATTAAAAATAGTATTAGGGGATTTCATTACTTGTAACCACAAAATTAACTGTGGGGGTCAGCATTTAAATCTCCTTACCCTTTGGCTTTTATTCATAAGATAATCTACAGTTCTTACAATTTCCTCTCATATGATTCTGACACTCAAGGAAAATCTCAGTCTTCCTTATCAGCCTCCCACCCCTTGGTGAATTAATGATACCAAGTATTAATACAACATCTTGCTGAATCTCTTTGGAATGGATCTTTTTTCCATTAGAGTTCCGTTTTAAAACCCCGTGTCTTCATAAGTCTGGCATGTAAGATCTTAATTGCTCTGTCACAGCTTTCTCCTCTTCAGTCAGTAGAGTCAGCTCCAGGTCTGTTTGCTTATGTAGTTCTTGTACCATGGTCATTGTCTTGCTCAGAATAGCACAAATGCGGCTCTTGTTCTCTTTTTGCTCAACAGAAAGTGGCTTAAAACGTGCACACAAAGCTTGATATCGAGACTTTATTGCTGATAATTCCTTTAAAATTTCACCAGGATTTTTCTCTCCTGCTGAATCTGGGTGATTAGTGTGTTGGGATTAAAGGCATACACCACCACAGCCCAGCCTCTCCTGCTGAATCTGGGTGATTAGTCTTGATTTCATACTCCAGCCTATATTGAATGTAATCCAAATCAGAATCAGCTTTCTGGAACATCAGTTCCAGCTTATCGACCTCCGCCTCCATGTTCTGTTCTCAAACTCTTATCCCTGTGCCTCCGCCTCATGAGTGCTGACAGGGGTGCGCTACCATGCCTGGGGTATGTGACCCTGTAGATGAACCATTATGTAGCCCTGATTGGTCTGGAACTCACTCTGTAGACCAGGCTGGCCTCAAACTCACAGAGATCCGCCTACCTTCCATTTACGGTACCTTCCATTTACCATTACGGTAAAGCGCTGTTCCCAAGCATTGCCACCAGGTGGCGATGTGGCCCGAGCCAGCGTCAAGACGGTGAGCCCACATTTTCTCAGTGGGGTCTCCACTGTGCGCGCAGCCAGGAAAGCATCAGAGCTCTGGAATACTCTAGGGATGAAGCAAGAATGCAAGGGGAGGGGAGGGTTGCTCGTGCAGCTCCATGCCGCGCTCCTAGCTTGCACGAGGCCCTGGGCGCCATCCGCAGTACCACAGAAACCAGGCAGGGTGCCCCAGGCCTATCACCCCAGCACTCGGGAGGGGATGGCAGGAGCATGAGAAGTTCAATGTCACGTGGGTTAGAGGCTAGCCTGGGCTACACGAGCCCGTCTCATGCAAACAAACAGATCACTGGTTGGGGATGGGGTTAGGCTGACAGGACACCCCTCCCCATTCACTCTGCAGTATGAGGAGAGAGTGTTGAAGAAAATCCGCAGAAAGATCCGGAATAAACAATCAGCTCAGGAAAGCAGGAAGAAGAAGAAGGAATACATCGATGGTCTGGAGAACCGGTAAGGTGGGCACCACGGCCACACAAGCCTAAGGGAAACTGAGGCAGAGATAGTCCAAGTTTTTACAGCTTAACAAAATGGGGTTAGTGTCCCACTTAGGAACAAATGTCAGGAGTCCAAGGATGGCTAGGGAGGGCCTGAGCAGTGACTGATTGGTTTGTGGGCGTGGACACAGGCACACCACCATACACCTGTGGGGTGTCGGCTCTCTGCTTCTCGCATGGGGGTCTGTGGGAGTCACACTTGGGTCAGGCGACTTTGCTGTCTGCATCCACTGAGGGGTGGGAATGATTGCAGTCAGAGGAACTGACTGACAGGAGTCAGAGGGTATGAATGACAGGGGCTGGAGGGGTGGGGTAGGGGAAATGGCGCTGATGAAGGAGGGGGCTGTGTGTGTGACCTGCTCAGCTCTGTGTGTGTGTGGGCAGGGCACTCTGTCTTTGTCTGAGTGTCATGAGGCCTAGAAAGCATGAGAAAGTCCTTGGGTAGGAGACAGAGGATGTTAGGATGGGCTCGGGTAGGAGGCGGAGCACTGCAGCCTGGTGTGGGGGCTCATGTCCACCATGCCAGCACTCGAGAAACCAAGGCAGGGGATTCTTTGGGGTTTACTGGCCAGCCAGCCTAGCTGACCAGGTGAGGCCGGTGAGATGGTTCACCGTGTACAGGTGCTTGCAGCTTCCTCATGAGCCCCAAGTTTGACTTCCAGCACCTGGCGGCTCACAGCCACTGGGACACCATGCTGCTTTTGCTATAAGCACCTGCACCACCGGCTAACACATATTTTAAAACATAAATAAAACAGAGAGAGCCAGGTGGTTGTTGCACACACTTTTAATCCATCCCAGCACTCAGGAGGCAGAGGCAGGTGGATCGCTGAGTTCCAGGACAGCCAGGGCTACACAGAGAAACCGTCTCTTATTTTTAAAACAATCAAAACCAAAACAGAACAACAACAACAAAACCCATGGAGATTGAAGGAGCCACTCCGAGTCCCTTCCAGGCTCCACAGGCACGCACACACCAGAAGACACAAAAGTAACAAACATGTTACAGCGGCATTATGGCTGAGCTCTCAGTGTCACCGGGTCCCTGTGTGTAAAGTGGGAAGTGTCTGTGGGGCTGGCGGGTGACAGGCATGGTCTCAGTGTCACTGGGTCCTTGTCTTCCCAGGATGTCAGCGTGTACCGCCCAGAACCAGGAGCTGCAGAGGAAGGTCCTGCATCTAGAAAAGCAGAATCTGTGAGTGTGCTGAGAGCAGGAGGGTCCTAGGCTTTGCCCATGGAGGGGCTCCAGGGACAAAACCCCATAGCGGTTGCAAGAGATCAGGAATGAGACCTCTGTTTGCCAAGGAGGGAATTTGTGTTGGGGCTGTGACAGGTGTGTAAGAGTTGGCTAGAAGCCAGGTGGTGGCGCACACCTTAGTCCCAGCACTCAGGAGGCATAGGCAGGTGGATCTCTCTGAGTTTAAGGCCAGCCTGTTCTACAAAAGTGAATTCCAGGACAGCCAGGGCTACACAGAGAAACCCTGTTTGGAAAAGGAAAAGCAAAAACAAACAAAGAAAGATTTGGAAAGAGTTGTTAGCTGGGCGGTGGTGGCACACGCCTTTAATCCCAGCACTCGGGAGGCAGAGGCAGGCAGATCTCTGTGAGTTCGAGGCCAGCCTGGTCTACAAGAGCTAGTTCCAGGACAGGAACCAAAAGCTATGGAGAAACCCTGTCTGGAAAATCAAAAAAAAAAAAAAAAGTTGTTTAGAGAGGAATTGGCATATAGGAAGTCCTGTGGGGTGAGCAAGAACAAACCAGCTCAGACCTGTCTGTGGAAACAGTATCCTTGGTGCAGGGGGCAAAGCGTGGAGAAAGACCCTGAGGCAGGCAGGAGTCTGCCGTGTGACAGGATAGAGGAATGCAGGGCAAAGCAGCAGGAGGGAGGCAGGGAGGGCGTTCTAGCAAGGGTGGACTTAGTGCACTGAGGAGGCTGAGGGGTTTCAGAAAGGGCCAAGGAGCAAGGAGGCCCGCAGGGCTCAGCTTGAATGTCATCTCCCTGCAAGGTCTCTTCTGGAGCAGCTGAAACACCTACAGGCTCTCGTGGTCCAGTCGACCAGCAAGTCCGCCCATGCAGGCACCTGCATAGCGGTGAGTCCCATCTGCGGGTACTCATGAGGTCCCCAAGACTGGGGTTGTGGTAGTGCTTGGCCTTAGTCGAATGGGTAGTGGGGGAGGTGAGTGTCTTTAATAGTAGAACCTTGGAGCCTGGCATGGTGGGACAGGTTAGTTGTCATAAACCTCAGGAAGCAGAGACAGGGGGATTGCTGTGAGTTACAGGTCAGCTTGGGCTACAAAGCAAGGCGCTGTCTCAATAAACCCACTGCCATCTAAATAAAATAAAAAGTCTCATCCACCCTCTGCTAGTGGGACCTTAGTTTCCCTGCCTGTGAGCTCAGGTGTGCTCACAGGGGAGGGGGAAGGATGGGGTGACCCCGCCCCATGTCTGGCAGGTCCTTCTGCTGTCCTTCGTCCTGATCATCCTCCCCTCCATCAGCCCTTTCGACTCCAACAAGGCCGACAGCCCTGGAGACTTTGTGCCAGTGCGAGGTAGGTGGTCCCCACCCCCTGGCCCCAGAGTGAGGGCGGGGCTCAGTGGGCAGAGTTCTGGCTTGGCATGTGAGCCCCTGGCTCCCATCCCTAGCACCGTAGAAATCAGGTGTGATGACCCCGAAGCTGGGGTCAGGGAATGAAGACCGGGACTCTGCCTCCGTGTTCTCCTCCCAACTCCGCAATTCTCTCCAGTGTTTTCCAGAACCCTTCACAATCACGCTGCATCCCGCGTGGCTCCCGACAGCGCCCCAGGCTCCGAGGGCCCAGGACCCTGGCCAGACGTTGGCACACCCCACAAAGGCTCTCCTTCTAGCAGCCTTGGTGCAGACTGGGGGAATTTTCTGGAAATACCAATGCTGAGCAACTCGACAGAAGAGCTAGACAACTCTACCTTGGTGCTGGTCAATGCCACGGAGGACCTGGGCGTGGCCACCCTGCTGGACTGGGTGGCTTTGGAATCTCTGCTCAGCCCAGACCGGGTGGGGCTGGAGATGCCAGGGGTGGAGATGTGGCTGTCCTGGGTACCAAGGTGGCTCAGGGTTCCTCTGGTGCGGGGTCCCCTGGAGGTGCTGTGACCGGTAGTAGCAGGCCCAGACTCACAGATGGACTGACAGCGCCTCCTCCATAATCTGATCCCCCGCATATCTCATCAGAGTGGGGCTGCCAGGTCCAAGCAGAGACCCTCGTGCAGGACAAGAACTAGACGCCTTTACTCATACTGACCCTGACAGGCAGACACTCAGCTGAGCCATGACCCCCAACCCATGAAGCCTTCCCTGTTCCCTGATCACTGGGGACCTGGGCTCCCCAACACCAGCACGCGAACTTTACAGTGGACCCAGCGCACAGACATCCACTTCCCTTTTTTCTTGTAGGGACAGGGTCTTAATCTGCAGACCAGGCTGGTCTCAAAGATTCTCCTGCCTCTGCCTCCTGGGTGCCGAGTTAAAGCCATGAGCCACCACTACCCAAACACCCCCTTTTCTAAGACTGTTGTGACCATCAATAAAGTATTTTGACAATATAGAGGCTGTGGCTCGGTGGGCACACACCTGTCGTCCCGAGACTCAGGAGGCACCACCAGGTGTCTGGTCTGCAGAGTGAGACCACACTTCCAAAAACAAAACAAAGCAAAAAAAATAGGAGTTCGAGATCATCTTTGGGTCTGCAGGGACTTTGAGGCTAGCCTGGGCTACACTAGACCCTGTCTACACACACAGTATTGTGAGAGAATAAGTGGTATGGTATATGTTAATTCAGAGGCTGGGGCTCTGGCAGGCAGCCTAACATGGGGTTTGACCGGCCTCCTAGACTTAGGTGGGTTCAGCACCTTGGAGAGCGACAGGAGGGCCGGCAGAGCCTCCGCCCATCTCCCAGGGCCCACCTCACCCTGGATCTCAGTTGCCCATTCTGCCCTGTTTACAGTGAGGAAGCTGGAGCATGCAATGAGCCAGCCCAGCGTTAGAATAGATGAGGCATCTGGTGCTGTGGACTGTCTAACAGCCAAGGATGTGGCGGTCACTGAAAAGACAGCACTCAGGGGCAGGAAGATCACTGTGAGTTCAAAGCCAGCGTGGGCAGCGAGAGGGAGTGCCTGAGGTGCCTGGATTGGCCAGCCTTATGGAAGGACAGGCGTCAGACAAAGCCCGAGACCCTCAGTCAAGGGAGTAAGAAAATGGGGTCTGGACAGGGACAGGGGCCTGCGCTAGCCCCACACATGGATGCACACAACACACACGTGTGGCCCTTTTTAGTTTGAGATGAACCAGGCCCTGCCTGGTTGGAACTCAGAGCTACCCCTACCCCTGCCCAATGCTAGGGTGAAACATGCAGCCCCTGCATCCCATGTACTTTTCCTTTTGGGGTACATCTGTTGAGTCCACTCAGGGCTCCAGCTTGCTGTCTGTGATACCTCATCCCCTTGGACATGTCCCACAACCTGCATCTAACCCTATCTGAAAGTGGCAGCCATCCCTTCTTTCAGTCTTTATGTGCCGTGGGGGTGAGGTGAGCTGCAGCAAGAGGAGTCCTGAGCCTGTCTGCAAGCTTGGTGAGTGCTCTGGCCAGTGAGCAACTTGTCCAGCTCTCCTTCCCCACCCCCTGCATGGAGACATGTGAGAACAGCGCCCTTGGAGGCCAGGAGAGGGCACTAATCCCCCCCCTGAACTGGGGTTATAGGTGGTCATGAGCCATCGTGTGGGTGCTGGAAATCTAACCGGGGTACCCTGCAAGAGCAGCCAGTGTTCTAATGAGGACATCCCGCACAGCCGTTCACACAGTGCTGGGCATTA